TTTTTTTTTTTTTTTTTTTTTTTTTTTTTCTTGTTGGGTAACTTAGCTTTTGCTTGGAATTGTTTGGAATGTCAATGATAGTGACTTTGATGATACGATTTGTGTGGCATGGTATTGTTGTGCAAGTCCTTTTTTTGGAGCCCGACGTATTGCATCCAGCATTTATGTTTGAATAATCCAAACTTGAATTATATTTTTTGAGGGCTAATGAATTACAAATATTGCATTATAATTAGGGTGCAAGTTTTTGCATAATGGAATCATATTGATGTAGTGTTGTGTTTGACATGTGAGACATGTATTCAAGGTGGCTGGCATTGGAACATTAATGCTCCCGTTCATTTTGTTTAATTATACAGTATGGTTTGTTTAGATGTTGGTAGGGTTTGTTGATTATGTAATTTGAAGTGACTTGGAAGATATATTGTGATGTCCTCGTAATGTCGCGAGGGTATTTTTTTACATCCGGTCGCAATGCGTCTGGGAATTATGTGTGACAATTCGAATGAGGAAAACTGTTTTAGGTGGGCTGATTTGCTGGAAAGTCTGCATTATAATTGTAGGATGGGTTTTTCAATAGTACAATGTCCTTAGTTTGTGTTGTTTTGGTGGAAATATGAAGGACTAGTTGTGTTGTTTGTGGTGTAAAAGTTGATTAGAAGTTGTGGGATAATGGTTATGGGGTCTGATTACGTAATTTGGGGTTGTTACATTGTGGAGGGGGAACGGTGGCATTGGATGGTCATGTGGTCGAGTCGATGAGTTGTACGTTAAATGAGTTCAATGAATTTGCCGTTGAAGTAATGTGAAGAAATTTGAATGTCACACCCAATTGACGACACATTGTTCGTTTAAAACATGTTAAAAATTCTTAAACATAACACAAACAGCATGGTCTGAAATTTAAACATAACACCAAATGTAAAATGTCAAAAATTTTAAAACAAAACACAGAGAGCATGATATGAATCTTGAAAGGGAACACTGAATGTTAAACAAACTAACCAACTTTATTGTAGTTTGAAATTCAAATTGAAATATCTTATTGCATATGACTAAACTAACATAAAACATTAGACCTTGTAGAAATAGTTTGAAATTAAACGTGGCAACGCACAATGGTTGGGACTATATTGGTTCGTTGCATGTCTTCCTGTTATGGTTCCCTAGACGGCCGCAACGGCCACATCGAATCTGTTGTACTTCTTCACCTTTAGATGGTATCCGTTTCTTCTTTCTGCCAGGTGGTCATCGCACTACCGGAGGAAGAATAACATAATTTTTCGGATTAGCATGTGGTTTCTTAACTATTGGGATTGGATATATGGTGTGGGAGTATGATAATTGATAGGTTGACATGTGAAAATAAGGTTCAACCAATGCATTCAAGTCACTGCCACTGTTGTGGATGGCAACCATTGCATGTTCACAAGGAAACCTATTGATTTGCCATTGGAAGCATGAGCATGTACGCCTGCCAATGTCTACCAACACTGATGGGTGTGAGTGGACCTTGTACACGTTATTATTCGATTGATTGACTATCCACGACCTTCCCTCCTTGTGCGTCTTATCCAGTCTGGACTCCATCGTCGGACATATGGCGCAAGCATACGTACTTGACACTCCTCTACGTTCAAACATCTAATTCATTATATGGGTCCTGATTGTATCAACCAATCAAGTGATTGGCAAATTGCATGCTTCTTTTATCCAATTGTTAAATGATTCAACAGTGTTTGAACACATCTTGCCATAACGTTTGCCCTTGCAAAATGTGGGTGGCAAATTAGGTGTGTGACATACCAGCAAAAGCACAAAACATAAACGGTGTAAGGTCGTGTAAAAGAATGAACTTAGAATAGTTAGGTGTCCCTCACCTGAAATATGCGTTGGCCCATCGGTGCGGCTCTAAATCTTTTAAAAAATTTATAGCGATGTGCCGACCGGACTGTATGAAGGCATCTATTTTTTCATTAAAAGCAGTAGCGGTCGGTGCATATATATATGCAAGCAACTTACTTACCATTCCAATGAGGTATAATTTGTTGACATATTTCATCTTGTCTTTCAGATTCCTTTGTAAATGTTGCATGCAAAAAGCGTGCTGGGCCGTTGGAAAGACAATAGGCATGGATTCCGTAATGCGGACGTAACGGTTCGAAACAAATGCCAAAACCCGATTCCCATCAACAACGTTAGCTCGGTTCTGTAAGAACTAAGCCCAATTCGCCGCCTTTTCCGAATCCACAATTGCAAAAGCAACTGGGAACAAACCTGTGTACGTAACATACAAATAATTTACCCACGTCTGATATGTAATCCCAATCGGCTGGGAACAAAAATGACAAAATCTATGAACCAAGAAACACATAACATGCACAATGAGTATATTACCTTGGTTTATATCTTTTGTCGTCGCCGCAAGTAGATTTCCCTTGAATTGTCCTTTCAAAAAGGTACCATCCAAAAACAATAACGGCTGACAGTAGTTAAACCCATCAATGCATGCTTTGAATGATATGAAAAGCCTATTAAAACGACGGGTGTTGTGTTCATCAAAATCAAGATTAATATAACTCCCCGGATTATATTCCATAACGACATTGCTATACCAACGCAGTTGATCGAACGACATCGAATGATCACCGTAAAGTCCTCTTCTTGCCTTTTCGACCCCTAACCAAGCTACACGGTAACTAATTTGCAAACCATATTCTTTTTTGAAATCATATTTGACATCGGTTGGGTGAGTCAATGGTTTGTCATGTAGAAGTTTTGCAATAATGTCAGTAACTAGTTCAAACTCCATCCTCGGGTTTCGATCAGTACGCACAACGAACCTACAAGTGTGCTCACGGTGCCATTTTTTGAGGTAAAAATATCCATTCGCATTCAACACCCTCGCATGGATGGACCATGGACATCCCCTTGACTCCGTAAATATGTATTCCACCATAATTCGAACTAAGTCGTTCTTTGTGAACTTAAATTGAAACCCACATTCGATGGCGTACTTGCTGGGTACCTTACGAAATCCCCTCGCCCCACCCTCAAAACATTGTCCGATATTAGTTATGCCATATACCCAATCCACAGATAATAACACCTTTGCCAGTGTGTTGGCAAAAATTAGGAAACAAATCAACCTCCTCATCAATATATGTTGTCATTTCCCCCCATCACTAACTATGTCGTCGAGTACGTTGTTCACACCCTTGTGACATTTGATCCCCCGCGACTCACCACGCTGTTCCACATGGAGGTCGATATAATCCAATCGAAATGACCTAATGAAGCATACCATGTTCTCAAAATCGAAATCGTTCTCCATCTTGAAATTATTGTACCCAGGAATCTTGAATGACATCGACGCCGAATCAGTATGGAGTCCACCAAAATGTCTGCAAATATGATCAACCAACATACTAAACGTGTAATCAGTACGAACCACAATGGCAACGTTTTCAATCCCGTATGAACACAACAACATGATGTTGTTTGCTATTCCTACATCGAGACAGAACGAAAAATGAAGATTAAATATGAAAAACCACGTCCGTCGCTTCCGCTATATAAGTACACTACATACATCACACTGAAAATCTATACAAAAAAATACAACCATTATGCTTTCCACAAAACGGGTATCGAACACATCGATTATTTGTGGGGTGTAAACATCGCAAAATGATACATGCAACATTGCGAACAATGTGTCAACGTTTACACCCCCAAATTAAAACCATTAACATAACGAACAAATACCCCAACAACATTACTGCCGTCGCAAATGAAGAACCCAACACCACGCCCTACAACGTTGAAGCAGACGACTGAGTACACCAGTACACAACTCGCACACCTTAACCCCTCCCATCCTCCCCACACAACATTCAAATACTCATGACCTTCGTCATCCCTAAAAATCTGGCCACATTTGATGTTCCCATATATTGCATCCCGAAATCAACATAATCAATATAATTAAAACATCCTTCCAAAAACCGTTTCCAACCACATAAAAAAAAGGTACATTAGTCACAAAAACCATTCCATAATTACATAATGGGATCCTTCGGATCAACTTACCAAAAAAACAAGACTGGAACGTGTATTAATTTTAAAAAAAGACTTACTAGACTACAATTCTCCGAAATGGGAGTTTCAATAATTTCCTCATTTTTAAAAAAATATTTTAAGCATTTTTTTTTATTGCTTTTTACATTAACCTAATGTAAATGTACCTAAAAAATAAAATATTTGTAAAAAAATATTTAAATAATTAATAAATATACAAGGATGTGAAAATATAGAATTTTTGCATTTTTGATATTTAATGAATTGCTTTATAAAAAAATCACAAATATTATAGTTTTAAATTATATTTATATTAAATGATGCTCAAGCCAAAAATCCAAATTTGAATTTTCTTTGTCAATATGTCCACGCGCTAAAATACTTTATCCATAAGGACAAATTAGTGTAAAAAGACCAAACTACCCATGCATAAATATAAGTTATATTCAGCTTGTTTGGTATCGTTTTTCTGAAAACAATTTTCAGAAAATTCTACTTTCTTATTTTCCGTATTTTTTTGTTTTTACTGAATTTTTTTAATATTTTAAGTAATTTTTTTAATTTTTAGACACACCTAACATAAATATACAAAAAAAAGTAAAAAAATTGTAAAAAAAAACTTTTAAAAATTCACTAAATACCAAAAATACAAAAAAATTACTAGAATTCAGTACAATTTTTGTATTTTTATGTATTTATTAATTTCTTAAGATATTCTTTTATAATTTTTTTACTTTTTAGATACATCCAAGTAAGGTGCATCTAAAACATTTTAAAAAATGCTTAAAATTTTAAAAATATTCACTAAAAACAAAAAAATACGAAAAACAAAAAACTCAATTTTTAAAAAATTTAATCCAAAAAACTCAAACCAAACACATTGATTTTCATTACCAAATGCCATTTTTCAACCCCCCTCTCTCTCTACTCTCTCTCTCCCCTTCTCACTGTTGTAGCACTGCTGCTGAATTTGTCACTCGCCTCGCCGCTGTTTGCCTCTCTCCCCTCCATCCCACGCCTCCTCTTTCTCTACCACCACCACCGCCACCTTGACTTCTGCGACCACCACAACCGTCGCGACCACCTCCGTCGCTGCCCTCTCTCTCTCTTTTCTCCTTACCCCCCATCACCTCTGATCTTCACCAATCTTCTCTCCAGTCGTAGATTTAAGATCACCGTCATAGTTCGGGGACAAAGAGAGTTCAACACCGTGTTGGTGTCGCTGTTCCAGTGAAGCCCGATCCCAAGCCGCAATCATGTATCCAAGATCTCAGATCTGCCTCGAACATGTTTGTATGCTTTGGTCCAATTTCTCCCTTTGTAATGTGTTCATCATAGTTCTTGTTTCGGCAAAGAAATCCGAAGACTAGAGCAAACACAACCATCAGAGAGAGTAGTCTGGTTTGATTTCTTGCAAAATTTGTACATACATGAAAATTTTATACAAAAAGATACAAACTCAGAAAGGTTTCTATCAAATTTTCCTTGAAAGTGCGTATATGGTGGCAACAATACTACATTGGAATGAATTGATTCAGACGTAGAAGAGGTTCATCTTTGTGGTCATCAACGTTTAAAAGGTGAGTTACGCTAATGATTTTTATAGTTTGGAACCTGTATCACATTTTGTTCTAAATAAAGATAATTAAAAATATCATTGCTTAAATTCAAAGGCAAAATCGTCAATTTGATCAAATATAAAATAATTTGATAAAAATAAATGTCAAAAAAATATTTTTAAATTTTTAAAAATTATTTCTACCCACTAAATTTTACACATTTATTTATTTATTTATTTTACCAAATTAATTTTTATTATGTGTTTGGATGATGATTATGTAATGAGTAGTTGTTTTTATTTTCATTAAATCAGTTTCTATTTTTTCAAAAGTTAAATGTGGCAATAACTTTGATATTATTATTAAATCAATTCATTAAATCAAAAAATCTAAAGCTAAAAATATTTCATATATTAAATATATCGATTACATATTAAAATCATAACAATCACCCATTACATACTTAATAAAATTAATTTGTTAAAAAATTTTAAAAAAAATCTAAAAAATTTATCAATTTTACATAATTTTATCTTTAGTGGGTAGAAATAATTTTTAAAAATTTTAAAATATTTTTTTGACATTTATTTTGTCAAATTAGTTTATATTTTATCAAATTAACGATTTTGTCCTTGAAATTAAGCAATAATATCTTCAATTGTCCTTATTTAGAACAAGATTCAAAATTTAAGGTCAAATGTGTCCTAATTAAAAAATTAAAAACCAAAATAATATGAATCTCTAACTATAGAGACTGTTAGTGTAATTCGTTCGTGTGTAAAGGGCACTTCTCATTAACATCATCACCATTTCCTTCCTTTTTCTTTATTCCTTATAATTATTCGAATCTTCCGAGTTCTTGATGGTTTCTTTTGTATTGATTTGATGATCTACAGTCACCTTGTTGTTGTTTAGATTTCTCTCTTTTTTTGACATAGATCTTCTTTTCTTTTCTTTTTTAAAAAAAAATCTTTTATTTATTGAAGAAGAAATAGATTGCAAATTGAATAGATAATAGGATAGATTTGTTTGAACAGATAAAAAATGAATAGATAGAAAATTTCAACAGAAAAAAAATTTGAACAACTAAAAATTTTAACAAATAAAAATTTTATAAAAAAAATTAATAGATAAAAAATTTCAACAGATAAAAAATAATTTCAACAAATAGTCAACGAAAAGTCAAATAGATAAAAAAAAAGTCAAGAGATAAAATCGAAAACAAAATGTTCTCCGGAATATCTCACCAAATGATTTTACAAAACATAAACTTCTCATCAATAGAAAATATTTCTTAAATCTAATGTCTTATATCCTTTTTATATTAGATTTATCACCAATTAAACTTATATTAAAATAGTATATCTAAAAACAAAAATATTATTTAAAAGAGTAAATTACATTTACCTCCCCTAAGATTTCTAACAAATACAGAGACCTTCTCTATGGTTTGAATAATTACAATAATCTCCCCTACTTTACCTGACAATGTCAATATTCTCCCCTTCTGTCAAATTGTTCCAAACGGTGTTACTTTTTCTATAGTAATTACCTTATTGCCCTTCCTTTTAAAATATTAAAAAATATTTTTGGATTGGAGAATAGGTTTGGAAGAAACAGTATTTTTGGATTTATTTTTTAAAAATATTAAAAAATATTTTTAAAAAATTTATTTTGTTCTTTAAATATATAATTTTTATTTAAATATTTTATTTTGTTTTGTAAATATTTTAATTTTAATATTTTAAACTCAAAACACAACTTCACACTCAAATCATAACCAAACACATAACTCAAAATTCAATTCAAAAATTATTTTCAAACCTCATAACCAAACACATAACTTGACACTCAAATCGTAATCAAATGCATAACAAAAAAAATTAAAATATTTATAAAATAAAATAAAATAAAATATCTAAAATAAAAACTATATATTTAAAATAAAAAATAAAATTTTTTAATATTTAAAAAATTAAAAAATATATATTTAAAATAAAAAATAAAATTTTTTAATATTTAAAAAATATATTTAAATATTAAAAAAAATACAATACAGATGTATGAAATATAATGCACATTAAAATAAATAAATAAATATTTAAAATATAAAATCTTTACCCTAAAAAAATAATTTCAAAAAATTTCAAAATTTATAACCAAACAAATTTTTTCTTTTTCAAAACTCATAACTCAAAATACGACTCTACATTCAAATCATGATTCTAAAAATAATTTTAAAAAATAAAATAATTTTTTTTGAATTTTTTTTCTTTTAAAATAGAGTTTTTGAAAAAGTTTGGTTATAGTTTTGAATTGAGTTTTAAGTTTGTGTTTGGTTATAAATTTTGAAAATAATTTTTAAAAGAGTTTTGAGGTTTGAAAAGATTTTTGATTTTTATGTGTAGTTGTATACCTATCACTACTCAACGACACTATCACCATTACCACCACCACCTCATCTTGCAGATAATGATGATGAAGAAGCAGTAGCAACAGTAGCAACAAGCCAGGAGGAGTCGTGGAGGAGGAGGAAGAAGAAGAGAGAGAGAGAGAGAGAGAGAGAAAAATAGATGAGAGAGAAAACTTATTTTTGGCCAACTTCGGAAACCTGACGGTATGCAAAAAGAGGTGAAACAAGACATATGAGGGGTGGAATGAAAATTAGGCCACAAGGTGAATCCAACAATACAAAAATGAGGCAAAACGAAGTTATGACGAAAGAGATATAAGTGTTTGAACATGTGGGTTTGAATCTGAAAATTTTACCTAAAGAAAGAAATCTTATTTTTGGCCAACTTTCGGAGCTCTGACGGCAAGCAAAAAAATGTGAAACAAGGCATATGAAGAGTGAAATGAAAACCAGGCCATAAGGTGAATCTAACGACGCAACAGAGTTACAACGAGGGAGATACAAGTGTTTGAACATGTTAGTTTGAATCTGAAATTCTATCCAGATTTTTGTTAGTTTAATATGATGGAGATGCATGGAGGGGCCATATTGAAATACAGATGAAATTCTAAGGTTTAATTATCAAAGTTAAAATTCCAAGGTTTAAATTGAGAAACACGCAAAACTCTGAGTTTTTTTTCTTTTTCGTAATTAACCCAAATTTTAAATAGATAAAAAAATTAACGGATAAAAAATTTCAACAAATGAAAATAATTTCAACAAATAGTCAACGAAAAGTCAAATTAATAAAAAAAAGTCAAGGAGTAAAATTAAAAACAAAATGTTCTTTAGGATTTCTCACCAAATTATTTTACAAAACTTGAACCTCTCATCACTGGAAAATATTCCTTAAATCTAATGTCTTAGACCATCTCCAACGGTTAATCAAAGTTGACATCAAATTTAAAATTTGGTGAAAAAGTTACTGTTTGGTGCTCCAACGGTTGCACCAAATCGATATCAAAATAAGATTTCACCAAACAATTCATCAAACTGAGGACAGAATACTGATTTCATCAAAACACTGTTTGTGACCGTGAGGGGAAACCAACCGGTCAACCAGCTGGTTGCCCGGCCGATTGACCAACCGGTCGACCACCAAAAGGTTCAAACAGTTCCAAGAAAAGGTTCAAACAGTATAAAAAAAAATTTGCCTTACCGGTCGACCAACTGGTCGACCACTAAAAGGTTCAAAAAGTTCAAAAAGAAAAAAATAATTCAAAAAAAAAAAAATTTTGCCTTACCGGTCGACCAACCGGTTCTCCGGGCGCAAATTTGATGAAAGTTCACCGTTGGAGCGAGTGATATCAAATTTGGTAAAATGGGTCATTTTTTACTCAGATTTGATGAAAAAAGAAATGCACCGTTGGAGATGCTCTTATATCCTTTTTACATTAGATTTATGGAAAATTTATCTATAAATCCCATCTTGATGAATGGTAATCCATTGAGTCCCAAAGATTTTCTTATAAACAAATTAGTCCTATTGATTTTGAAAAAGTAGATTTAATATATTATTTAAAAATTAAATTTACAGTTATACCTTTATTTCTATTACGTTTCCTTCTTCATTCTTTTTTCTCTGTTGTGCTAGAAAGGTAAGATACATGACCTATGGGAATTAAATTTTGGATGAATTTTTATATAGGAATATTTTATATTTGGAATGATTTAAAATGTGAGATTTTTCATATATTTTAAAAGGAGTACAAAAATGACTTGAAATATAAAAATTTTCAAACATTTCAAAAGGATATGGGATTCTTCAAACATTTGAAAAGGATATGGAATTCTTTAGACATTTCAAAAGGAGTAAAAAAACTCCTTAGTAAGATTTGGACAAATATATAATTTTAAATTGTAACACTTTAACACTCCAAAAAAACTCCCAAGTGTACTTTTTGCAAATGTAACACTCTAATATTTCACTCCAAAAAAGCTCGTTGTAACACTCCAGAAAAACTAATTAGTGCACTTCTCTTAAATGTAATATTCCAATATAACATTCCAAAAAAACTTCTTAGCGTAACACTCCAATAAAATATACAAAAAAAAAAATTTAGTGTACTTTTCCCATGTAACATTTCAATATAACATTCCAAAAAAATTCATTGGTGCAACACTCCAAAAAAACTACTTAGTATACTTTTCCCAAACATAACACTCCAATATAACATTCCAAAAAAATTATTTAGTGTAACACTTCAACGCAACGGACAAAAAAACTCCTTAGTACACTTTTCTCAAACATAACACTCTAATGTAATATTTTAAAAAAAAGATATGAGATTTTTAAAACTATTCCAAAAAGATGTGAGATTTTACAAACCATTCAAAGAGGAATACAAAAATGCCTTAGTAAGCTTTGGGCAAGTGTATAATTTCAAACTGTGATTGTTACGTTTGAAAAAATATACTAGATAGTAGTTTTCTAGTGTTTTTTTGTATGTTATATTAGAATGTGTTACATTGGAGTATCACGTTTGGGATTACATTGATTAGAGTGTTACGTTTAAAACAAAGTATATTAAGGAATTTTTTTGTATGTTACGTTTGAAAAAAAAGGCACTAAGAAGTTTTTTTTGAAGTGTTACGTTGTTATATTTGGAAAATGAACACTAAGGAGTTTTTTGGTGTGTTACATTAGAGTGTTACGTTCTTACTCGTAATGTGGGATTTGTTTCAGAAGAAGGGAAGATCCAAAACCTCTATAGTACGGATGGTCCAAATGTATAATTTCACATTTAGAGAAACCAATTTTTATCCCTAAAAAATTAAACCAAAACGTGTATGTGATTACCCTTTTGTGTAATTTCTACTTTAATAGGACCTTTACATTATTAAAAAAAAAGGAAGAACCAAACAGTTCATAAAATCACATTTTAAGATTTATTGGTATTTCACCCTAAACTTATTACTAATTAGCCCTATATTAAATAGTAGGGTAAATTACATTGACACCCCTTGAGATTTATATTTATTACAGTTCCCTCCTCGCCTTTTGGAAATTAAATCCCCCTCCCTGAGGTTTAAAGTTTCATTATAGATTGCTTCCTCCAGTAATTTAATTTTTTTAAATACCAATTTTGCCTTCACTAGGTAAATTACATTGACACCCCTCACATTTTAGAAATTATAATTCCCTCCCCAAAATTTAAAGTAGCAGTACCAATTGCCTCCTCAGTTAGTATTAGTTGAAAAACAATATTTGAAAAAAAAAATTAATTGAAAAAAATTCTGCTAGTCAAATTTTTTAATGTCTATTTAAAAACCAACATAAACTCATTTTTTGAATTTATATTTTTTTCTCAAATTTACAAACTGAGACGACCATTTATGAACCAAAAAAATCATCAAACAAATTTTTATGACAATTTTTAAAATTTTTGTAAATATAAATTGAAAACTGAAAACGAAATGGTTACCAAACAAGTCTCAGATGGTAAAAATTTCGTAAAATTAACAAATAATTAAATAAGTTACCAACGTAAGAAATGACTTATCAAAAAATTCTTAAGTTATGTATGGTTTGATTTTTAAATTTTTTTTTTTAAATTAAAAATTATTTGGTTAAGAAATAAAAAATAAAAAATAGTTATCATTTTTATATAATTTTTATTTTTCAAGTGTAATAAACATAAACCTCAAGGGGTGTCAGCGTAATTTTTATCTTACGTTGGTTTTTAAACAGAAATTTAAAAATTTGACTAACAATTTTTTTTTTTCAATGAATTTTTTTTTCCAACTTATACTAACTGATGGGGCAATTGATAATGTTACTTTAAACATTGGGGAGGGAATTGTAATTTTTAAAATGTGAGGGTGTCAATGTAATTTACCCAGTAAGGGCAGGATTGGTATTTAAAAAAATTAAATTGCTAAAAAGAGCAATCTGTAATGAAACTTTAAATCTCAAGAAGGGAATGTAATTTTCAAAAAATGAAAGAAAAAACTGTAATAAATATAAACTTCAGAGGTGTCAATGTAATTTACCCTTAAATAGTAGATCTAGAAAATAAAAAAAATTATTTAAAATATTAATTGTCTGATCACGCCGACCACGTGTACCACGCTGCCCACATTCCTCTTGCCAACTCGGTTGTATCCCTTTGTTTATTTTTACCGCGGGATTGGTTTAATTTGGGATAAAATTAAAATCAATTTATTGTTTGCGATCCTATAAAAATTAAAATTAAATTAATTCATTTAAATTATAGAATCAATCTAAATCGAATTAAACCAGTTAAATATAATTTGATTTAGTTTAAAATCACAATTTCAAAAAAAATTATATATAATTCACCAAACAAACTTATATTAAACAAAATGGTTCAATATTAATTTATTCATATTTTTTGAAATATAAATATATTATTTTATTATTAATTCAAACAAATATAATATCTAATAAATAAACATTAGTAATGTTAGAGACCCACACATTTATACTCAGAAATTTACTCATAATGATGTGACATAAGAATTGGACTCACCATCATTAAGTGCGTAATAAATCAAAAGTTGACATATATTCTGCCACATAATTGTGTTGTGGATAATTTTGTAGTGTCTCAAACATTTTTTAATAAACATATTTTTCAACATATAAACAAGCACAAAACTCTAATCAAATAAACATTGTCATGGCAACATGAATTACAAAATTAAAGTTATGCTAGATAATTAAAAAAAACCAATTCTAGCGGCATAGAAAATAGAAGAAAAAAGTAAAACAATATAAATTTCAGTTTGGTTTTACAGATAATAGGGTAGGATTATATACATTAGGATTAGGATGTATGGTAGGTATATGACTTAAGTTATATATGGTCACCGTGGACTTAAATTCTAAACTGATCTATGAAGACTGATTCTCTAATTTTTCAAACTAGAGCCGAACTACGAATTAGAAAAACCAAACTAAACTTATCTGATTGGACTGGATTGATTCGATTTACGAATTTTTTGAATTCTTTACTCAACCTTACCAGACGCAAATCCTTATTGAGAGGGTAATTTATGATCTGGAGTTGGGCCGAGGTGACGGCCGAGCAGGTTGAGGGCCCAACGGTGTATGGGGCCGAGCTGATCAACTATCCGCCCGGAAATGGGCTACCAGAACTTAGGCCGGGCAGAGTTTGGACTGAGTGTGTGCCGCCCCGGACCGTACGGAAGCTGCTCGGCCAGGAAGTGACCGGTCAGACCAGGATGCTCGGTCCGAGGATGGTCGAAACCAGACAGACCGAGAGACCGGCGCCCGGAAAGGCGCGGTCAGCCGAGGTAGTTGATTGACCGGCAAGAAGGCCAACCAAAGGAGGAGCCCGGGCTAGGCTTTGCCGAGATGCCGCCTAGCCCGGTCCTTCATGTGTTTGTCCGGCTAGACGCATGGGTTTGAAGCATGGCATGGCCGAGGTAGAACAGCTCGGCTGCCGAGCTCCAGCTGTGAAGTCAGGCAGTTGAGGTTAGGTGGTGAATGGCATGGTTTATGCTGACAGATGGGATAGCAGAGCCACGTGTCAGGAGATGACTGGGAGTGGATATGGGGCTCAGAAGGTATAA